ATATTTTTGCTCAAATTAATAAACTGCTTAGCATCGTTACAGCAGCCAAACATAAACAAAAGGGGGCAAGTCGATCTGTCTGACTTTTTTCTAAGGCGGATGACTTTGCAGTTAACGTTCGGCATACCGCATGCTCTAAGGAAAATATCCCTTAACTTAGATGGGTGTGTGCGGTCGAGGAGGTTATACACAACTGCGCTGAAGGAGGACATCACTCTCTTCGTCACTTCTTCAGCCACAAACTCCAAAATACACTCGGCTTTAGTGAGTTGCTCAAGATTTCTGTCTGTGTCAAGGCCCCATATATGAGTGAGGGGTGCTAATTGCTCAAGTTTGCCGTTAATTTCGGATAGAGAGTTTTGTAGCTGACGGATGTCATTACTATATCTATCAGTATTTTGGTGTGTATGAGATAGACCATTGGACTCTTTAGTTTTTGAAATTTTAGATTTAGGCCTTGGTAGCACGTACTGTCTAGTAGACTGTGCTGACTTTTCTATGCACGTAGGTATAGTGTCTTGTATGTCAACCAGTCTTACCGTTAGCATACTGCACGTAGAGATAGAGGGGCTGCGACATGGAGAATCTGGTGATGATAGAGACATTTGTGTACAATACACATATTTTTCAGTAGTTAAAGGTTCGACATTGTCAAGCATTGAGTCGTCAGTTGTAGGGGTTACAGATTTGGACCTTTTATTTGTCTTAGAAGTTGGTGAAATTTCTCTTTTACTGGAGTTATTGGACATGATATGAAAATAAGTGAGCACAGTGCTCGTTAAACTAAATGTAATATCTGAGTATTAGTTGTTATTAAGTATTAACCTGGTTAAAACTAGGATTAGAGACTGTGAGTATATAATGAATTGCAGACCTATTTACGACTTAAGTCCGCAATAGGTACAATACGAACTGGTAATTATCCGTCGAATAAAAAAAAGTTTTTTCCTTATTTTTTGGGGTAAGATGTACCCGATGTACAGGATAGGATGATAAACACTGTATAATACACCCTACAAAAGAGCTAGTCGAAGAATTCCTAAACCACGTGAAAAAATGTTACCACTTTCATAGTTCGCGGTGCTTGGTTAGTTCAGAAATTGAGACTACTTATGGAACTTCAGTCATGAATATGAAGAGTTGTAAACTTTTCACAAGAAGTTACTGCAGTTAGCCTAGTGAAATTTACAAATACATGGCAAACGCAATTGAAACTAATAAAAGTGAAATATATTTTTAAAATATAATATGCTTCGTCCGTAAACAACACAATTTTTCATAGTAGTATGTTGCAGTATAAACCTATTAAATATATCTTATACCAAAAGCGTTTGGAGTGCTTTGTGTGAAATATATACGGATAGTCTAAATGAATACATACATGTTAAGTAACAAAAGTGCGAATCATTCATCAAAATAGTAAAATTCGCCTGGACTATTTTCAGGTATTGGACCACCCAATAGATTTGACGTATATAAGACCAGCTGTGACAGGTAGTAATGATTCAACTGCAACCATATTGAGCGCGCAGTATTTCAACCAGTTCCTGGGTGTGCGTGTTATAAGAGTTTAGATAAACAATTGAATTCCAGCGTATAGACAATGTGAAATGAGGTTAGGACAGCCTAAGTTTCTTAGGCTTTGTCTTGGCTGTTTGGCAGTGTAACTCGAAAATTGGAAATAAGGCAGGCAGTGGTCGGAAGAAAAGATATTAGTGAATAGTCCATAATTGAAGAAGAGTAAAATGTTAAGTGAAGAAACAAGAAGTATTAGACCAGGATAACGATTTAGTGCTTACTTACATTTCTAGTCAATTTGTATTTACGTTAATCGCAGGCCATGTTTGCTAGTGCTTGATGTTTTAGGAAGTCTATTTCACTGAATCATATGAATGTTGCTAAAGCTTGTTTATGAGCAATCATAGCTAACAATATAAATGACCGGTTATTAGTGTCGACTGAGCAAGTAAGCTATGAGTACTAATCAGTATTACAATACTAGTATACATGTGAGTATTAATCAAAGGACTAATAGAATAATGGGTTAACACAAATAAAAATCGATTGAGAAAGTTGGAGTGGAAATGAGGACTAATATAAAGCTGCGTTCCTTTAGTCGGGCGTAACAATGTGGAATTATGATCCAGTTCGCTATTTGTACCGCTCTAATAGTAGACCTAATCCTAAGATTATAGACTTATCATGATGTGACTTCCTAATATATGTGATCATACGTGGACGTCCCATCATTATCTACAATGACTCGTTTTATCATAATTATCATAAGTAGTGTTTGCTCCAAACCACTTTTTCGAAAACCCCACACTATGCAGTTGAGTTGTGATTACTGTCGTAATCTTTGAACGCTCCTTTGGTCCAGCCCACCTTCAATTAACTGAGACCTTTAGACTAATAGTGTTGGTAGTGGGACAGGCGAGAAATTAGTGTCAGCCAAGAGAGTATCGAAATTGATAGGTGCTATCGGTAGGTATTTTATAGAGGGGTGAAGAAGTTAAAAAATGAGTTCAACGGCTTGATCATTAACAGGAGACAAACATGTAGCATTATACATCCGAACGGTATGATCAACGTTGTAGCTACACGGTACAATCCTGCGATTTTCTCTTGTACCTACAGTCATTGTACATCTACTGCAGTGACCGGTATTGACTTGTGTCTGTTTCGCTAAACAACATTTAGAAGTTACAAGTATAAGCATTTGTCAGTGAAAGAAATGTTAGATAAAATTATTATTGGCATGATGAGAGGATGTGACATCACATTTAGAAAAGTCAATGAAATTCTGGATCCTTTTGGAATAGCGATTCCTGGAATTCCGACGTCTGTCAGAAGTGCTTCAGTCTTTGCCACAAAATGGAACTAAAATTTCTGGACACAGGTGCGTACCACTAACATAGACTGCAGAAAAGAAGAAAGTGACACGGCTAGCAGAACAGCTGCAAGAACGAGTGTTAAACGGGAGACGAGTGTGGTGTGTGCTACTGATGTCGACAGATATACGTAGTGTGTATCACCAATCGAAAGTGGAATCTCTGGCTGTGGAAGGTTGAGAAGCTCGAAGAGAAGAGAACGGGGACAGAGAGTGGTTGATTTGGAAATGAAGGAACAATAAAGTGTGAGAAAATTGATGTCATTCTGCAAATGAAGCATTTCGTTTATGGTTCTCAAATTTTACTAAGAGATTCCACAATTTTGTATTCGAATATATATTTAGTTGTCCCCATTCGTGTTCTCGTTCATTATGCTACCTCATTGGATTGAGATCTAATATTTTGAGAACTTCAGAAATATAGCTGAGCAATAGCGAATTCAGTGAATTGAAATTACGACTAGGCTCTGATGGCTTGTTGGCGTCTGGAAGTTCTAACCTACACTTGTGGCCTATCATACATTGTATTGTAGCCGTATATCTCAGTCACGCATTCTTGGTTGATGTCCACGGTGGTGAGATAAAACCAACTGCTTCCAACTCAGTGTCCGCGCCTATTGTAACGGAGTGCTTACAGTAGGCCTTAACGCTGAGAAATGAAGTTAGTGATATGGCGAAGAAGTCCGATGAATCAGGACATATAAACTAATGTGCATAAGTCTACAGTGGACTGTGGTTTCTGAAAAGAAATAACCGTTTGCAGGGGCTCGAAGATTTTTTACTAGGCTTAACATTATAGTTATAGCGAATGGGTAGTCTGAGTTTATTACACAAAATGTAGAGAGTGGCAGGACTAGGTTTTGTCCATGCACTAAGCCCTCAGTTATCTTCACTGACCTGTTTCATTCCGGTAATGGAGGCATATATAGATGCTCGGCAGTTAACCACAAGTGTACGTGGATTATTTTAACAGATACATTTTGTAGATGTGTCTCAATCCTTACACAACCATACGAGGTTATTACCCTCATCTTACACACTATTTCTTAGATGGGGTGACAATTTCTCAAATCCTATACCATGTGTACTGTAGAAGCTGCATTGGGAGAACAAAATTTATGTGATCAGTTAGTGAATTGTAACGGACGCTTATCGAATTTAAAGGGACGAAATTGTCCAACATCATTTGTAATTATCATCGGAAAAACACGAGCGCTTGTTGAGCTTATATACCGAAGCATGAGCTGGTTATTATTCATAGCATACATGAAACCCGAAGCAAACTGAGCACAACTGACTACCGATTCTATAGAGAAATTCGCTCTAGGTCAAGATAAAAGTCAACATTTTTCGTCAGGAGTTCTGTGTTCACGGTTCAAAGTGCGACCTGTCCCGAAAGCGAAGTAACTTAAGAGATGAATGTTGTGAGCCAGATTTTCTTGAAAGATTTCAGGGATAAACTTAATAATATCAACCCTAAAGATAGAGTAAGCCGAATAAATTCCACATTTATTCTTAAATATGCGAATATTATACTAATTTTTGTGATTGGCTTATCTTGAAATTACTGTTTACCGTGTATTTCCTTTTCATCTGGCTTCACAACTACTTACCAACATAACTGTAAGTCTGCAAATGAAGCATTTTTACATTACCTTCCGTACGTATCACATGGCGCTATGGTTCAGGGGCCAACAGGTAGTCTCGGGAAGCATGGATTTCGGGTCCGTTGCTTGATATAACACTAAGCACTTGTTTGCCTATTATCAACATGAGAACTGTCTTGTATTACGTTTAATAAACAGAAGGCCAGCTCTTATTTTCTGTTTGTAAAGCATTAAGCATTGAGACTGATCATCATGATGTTCAATCTGACCTCAACGAATAAGACAGGTGGTCCAAGAGTTGAAGCTTAGAAACCAATCCTAGAGAGTATGCTAATGCAAACCGGGCATAACAGTGGTTACCAGTACACTATCAACAGCACTTTGCAGTCACATGTTTAGGAACACCGATCTACCCTTTTTATCCGTGAAGTCTGTAAACGTTTGTTTGAACCCATTAAAATATGATATATCGGTGGAGATTGTAATTTTTCTTTTGTTGGAATCGCGTTTAAACCGTGCCGACCGCAACTGTTATTGTGTTTAACCGTCTAGTTTAGGTTTCCAGATTATCTGAATTCCAGACTTGTGTTGCTCTCACTTGTTTTCTTAAATTGTTAAATGTCAGCGCATACTGTTTACTTGCTTTTGTTTACTTATCGGTTACTTACTTTTTTTCGTTAACGTTATGCAGTACTGCACATCACCATGCAACATTCAATATATTGTTCCAATGTAGAAGCAAAATTATCAAGCACCTAAAGTTACGACGAAATATAAGAGGGATCTACGGCCGTTCATGCAGAGACCTTTAAAGAAAGTCAATTTTTGCTTCATTATGCTTGAACGTCGCTCAAACTAATTTTAGAACTGAAATATTTTGATTAATAACAACCACTAAATACACAACTGTTTACTGCCTCAACCTGAGAGGTTCCATTGACCAAAGTTGCATATCTTCCTCTTGCTTAGTGACTACAGGTCTGTAGTGAATCTCGAATATAAGAAAAGTGGATGGCCTGCGAGTGGTCTTTACGACATGTGGCATATGGAGCATCGTGGATCAGCTGGTATAGCAATCCAGATCTGTGATAATCTTACGAATTATTTCAGTGTGCTAGTAAAAAGTTCTATATGAGACGTGCAGCAGTTGACTCTCGGGATGGGCAAAATGAGTGATTGCTATCTCTGATTTCTGTGAAAATATGGCAGCTCGATAACTTGGCATTTGAGATCAGACGTGATCATTTCTTAGTTTCTGAATCCCAAAAGTGTGGTCATGACTTTATGTACCAGTTTGAAATATGACTTTCTAGACGATCAGTTGTTTATCAAAGTCCTCGACCTTAACATATGATCAACAATTTTCTTATCATCTTGGGAACATTAATTTCGTTATGTGAACTATTGTACATGTGGTTAAAATTGTTTTTAAGGCTTGACTTAAAGAATCCCAAGAATGCGGGGGGATTCTCTTCTTTCTGTTGTTAAAGGCACGTTAGTTTTCCAGTTACAGGAGAATATTAATATTGACCGCCTTGGTGGTCTAAAATACGTACTAAATGTATTGTGCGAATCTGGACACGTGGTTTTTCTCATATTCTTTTCAGGAGAAAATATTTTCTTCGTTGATCGTCATTTTGTTAGTCTTATTTCCTTGTTACTGTAACAAACCAAAACGTTCGTTCACTGTCGACTACTACAATCATGTGTTTATGAAAGATGATGCACCTTTTCAATATGTTTCCGGAAGTATACATTATTTTCGCATTCCGGAACAGTACTGGCACGATCGACTTTTCAAAATGAAGGCTGCTGGGTTGGATGCCATTCAGATGTGAGTATTAAATGTCTAATACTCATGTTTTTTCTTCAATTTTCTACTTTAAACTATTTGCACGCCTAGAGAAGTAGCACCAACAGGTTTATGAGATTTTTGCCAGCAGTGTAGTGATTATTAACTAGGTATAAGAGTGGTTCTTGCATTGAATAAGTGGTAATAATAATTTTCGGAGTTTTTATCATGTTTAGTTACTGTTGTATTTGCTAAACCTAGCGCTATAATTTGCTCTAAAAAACAGAAGGTATCAACCAGATAATGTGATATCGTGAATTTTGAGTTTGTTGTAAAGGGAATGGCTGACATGAGTATTTGTACTGATTCTGAAATAAGACAAATAGTGTTTTGCGATTATTATGTTGGTGTTGATGCCTTTTATCTAACATAATTTGCGAATAATATTGTTAACACATGTATTCAGTGGTTGACTTTTATTTTACTCAGTTACGTACCATGGAATTTCCATCAGCCCGAAAAGGATGTATATGATTTTGATGGTGATCGGAACTTGGGAAGGTTTTTGGAGCTGGCTTCATCTTTAGATCTGTTGGTAATTGCACGAGTCGGACCATACATATGTGCTGAATGGGATTTTGTGAGTTTGAAATACCAATGCGTTACGTATTTAGTGTTTCATTCACAACGAATTCTACTTCTAAGCAGTGAATCTGTGCTTCGTTTCAGGGTGGCTTACCAGCTTGGCTTTTGCGGTTTAATCCGTTGATGAAGTTACGCTCCAGTGATCCAGGTAATTTGTGATTGATGCTAAACTAAACTGATCACATAAATTACAAAATCATATGTGTATTTTAAAGATGATGTGAACCCAGAGACTATCAGATTCAAAGTGGAATTTATCTTGTTGAAGCAGCTTAGGCAGACGTTTCTGGCTCTTACTATTATCCCTCTGGATCTACATTTGTATCATTTTCCATGTGTAGTAGTAGTTTTATGGGTAGTAATTTATTGAGCAAAGTACTTGAAATTTAAAAATGAATGAATTCGTAGTATATTTTTGAATGATATATATAATTGAGGTCTAGAAAGGTACAAACTGAAGTGTCTAATATTGTTCAGTCAGTCAGCAACAACGGAGAACTTATATTGTTAGTTACCACTTACATTTGTCATCCCTCTTTCAGCTCATGTTTTTAGTTATAAGATGTTTGATAAGTAATTATTCATACTAATTACACCTGGGTTATTAAGCAATACACTATCTAACGATATAGGGATATGATAATCAAAATTACCAAGTGACTTGTTGAAACTAAGTAACAGGGACAGTGGTTTTCTGAGAAATCTTAACTGTAACGAAATTTATAGCGCCAAACAAAGCCACTATTTTCATTACTATCTTATAAAAGCCGCAATATAATTTTAGGCTGGCTTTTTGCTACACCAGACTATTCTGATCAGTGTCACCAAGCTTACATGTTAACCTCCTGCTTTTCTTTAAATGGCGATTCATTGTCTGGGGATTCCTAAAGTAAACGGTACATCACAGGAGCTAATGAAATAATACATGGTTTCTAAGTGCACCACATTTCAAAGCTACGAATAGCCGAAGTTTATTAGACTAATCTTAGTAACAATTCCAATAAATGCAAATATAGAAATAGTGTTAATGGTGGGTCCGACGTAGATGTTGTGACGTTTCAAATGACGCTAAGTGAAGGTTACAACTATTGCTTTCAGTCGCTTATGAACCGTCTACTTCGGTTTTTATTTAAGTTCATACCGTATCGAATAAAATTTGTTACTTGAGTAGCATTAAGTTGACAGTCGGAAATTTCCACTTAGTACTAACTCGATTTAGGAACGCGTCTACTTCTCATGAAGACATCATATGTAGATATTTGTAACGGCACTGACTAGTGTGTTGCGAATTATCAAACCAAACTGTGAAGTGATTGTAAATGCGGAGGGAATTTTTGCCTAATTTGTTTGTATTCACTTTTACTACACTCACCATAGCAATTACAGTTGAAACAAATCATTTTTAATTGGTATTCTTCAACAGAATATATGAAGTTTGTGACGATGTGGTTCAATGTTTTGTTACCGAGTATGAAACGTTTTCTCTATGAAAATGGTGGGCCGGTAATTATGGTGCAGGTAAACTACTACTTTATTTAATTTCATCATTGGTTTCGGGATTTAACTAATGCATTCTCAGTTGAAGGAGTCAGAGTCAGGTGACAGAGTCATTATGAGGTTTCAGTAAAACCAGTGGGTGATTGTGTCCGTCATGTAAACCACAGATATGCTTTACTGATGGATGCTTTCTTTTACCACAACTTTTATGGAATTCTTGACGGTTTGTAAAAATGGAAAATATTTTCTTTTATGAAATTCGATGTTGGATTTTCGATATGTTCACGTTCTTAGTCCGCATGTTGGGAATCTTCAGACATTTAACCAAACATGTCACTATACAGACACCCAGTCCATTCTTACTAATCCATATGTTTCAAAGTCGATCTGAATTATTGTAAGGAACATCAAATAAAAGCAGAGCGACCACCTAGATTGAGTATTTAAACTAGCCTGACATGATAATTTTAGTTTTGTTGTGCAATATTAATCGACTGATATTTAATCTGGCTAGGGACTTCAAGATTGTCGAGTTTAAAATTCTGTTGATGTTAGGTTGTCAGTTGATGAACTTTTACTTATTAGTGATCACTCAACGTTTTTTGGAAACTCAGAAACTTTGATTTGTTAATGTCCACTGAGAATTACACTTTTTGAAGTCCATCAGATCAAACCGAAAGTAGGCGTTCTGTTACGAGTTAAATACCAAGCAACCAAACATTGGAAGCTTTGTATAATTAATCATATTTGACTATTTTACTGAGTCTAGAGCCCATAGTTCAAACCGTTACGTATGATATATTCTCTGATACCTCAACATGAAGCAAAACGGTTTCGAAAGCCCACCGATCATTAATTTGCATTATCAACCACTGTTTAATATCTTAAATATTTTTATTGACGTTTTTGCATTTATCCGTCTTCAGTTGGAAAATGAATATGGCTCCTATTCAACATGCGACGAAACATACTTAAAAGAGCTTTACAATTTAGCACGCTCACATCTAGGGGAAAATATCATAATTTTTACATCTGATGGTCCATCCAACGGCTTATTAGAATGTGGTTCATCTGACAAACGCTATCTAGCAACAGTTAACTTTGGTCCTAGTATGTTTCCAATTTCTTGATTTAAATTCTATGCTTTTCAAGTTTTTGTATTTATTTTGACACTGGATTATGTTATTCGGTTATTTCTTGAACACAGGTTACTTTCTAATCCGAGGTAAAACACGGCATTGACCAGGATTATTTGGATTTGTAGCGTGGCGTCGATTTGTGATTAACTATGAACACCGCTACCAAGAAACACGTGCCAAGCGAATCAGAAGGCGAGGGTTGGACGTAACCAAATAGATCCATAAAATCCCCGAGAAGCCAAATATCAGAAGACAGTTAATGGACCAAGTCGAGGTGTATATTTGCTGGCGATCTCGTGGCATCGAAAGGATACCGAGATCGTGCCAGGATACAACCTTGGTTACAGAAGGTAACCGAATTCGCGCGAAGTTACAATCGAAGTGTGTGTAAAAGAATGGAAGCAAAATATAGCTGTCATTAGCACAGTCAAACAAAAGCACGTTAAAACAAACACTGGTACAGTTGGTTATAATAATAATTGTTTTTATTAAACCAGTCGTGTTCTCGTGATAAATGTGAGTCACTACAGGAGCCCCCCGCTAGAAAGGGTTTACACTTTCGATAAATAGCGGTTTGAATCGTGGGACTGATCGGCTGACGAGCGATTGTAGGACGGAAGAATTGGCGAACAGGAAAGCGATCGTTGATCGTCGAGTTGCCAACGAAGGTCGTTTTCGGAGAACGGTACCAGGAGCGATGTGCTGTATTTGTTGCTTGAGTTGGCATGCTACACGAGAGTGGTTTGTATCCAGAATCTGAAGAGGGCGTTCGTAGGGTTGCGGACCAGAAACGCTGCAGACGAAGGACGAAACCACGTTGAGCCGATGAACCAGAAGCGACCATAACGACCAAGTTCGAGACCAAGCGTATGCCAAGCATTCGAAACCAATATATCGACTGAGTACGTTGACAAGAGCGTGGGTGATCAGGCCAGCTTTCGCCAAAGTTGACTGAAGTCGACGGAACCAAACGGAGATGGTCGAAGGCGTGGGCTCAGGAAACAAAAAAAACAAAAAAGAGAAGAGTGTAGCATGCGTGTAGTATAGGAATAATCCTACACCGTATCGGTTGTTAACTGTGCGGCTAGTCGCGGAAGCGTACGGGCAACCGTACTCGGCGACCGGAACGTGAGACGGTAGTCTCGTTCGTATTTCGTGAGCCTGCAATCTCATCCGAGGTCAGAGGCGGCGTGGTCTGCTGATCTGGACGTGAGACTGTCGTCTCGTCCGTAGACGGTGCAGATGACGCGTGCTGTTGACCGGGACGTGAGAATGAGGTCTCAGATGTATCTAGCGTGGGACCTGAAGAAGATTTAAGGATCCCGCTAGTAGGTTTGATAGGTCTAGCATTGAATCTCAGGTTATCAGATAGGGCACTGTCATCGACGTGTGCTGGTTTGAGACGATCAATGCTGACGATCTCGACGCGTCCATATCGATCAACCTTGAAGGTCTTTTCGTGACGAGCGATCACGTGAAAAGGGCCTTCGTAAGGTTGTTGCCAAGGTTTGCGTACCGAATCTACTCGTACAAAAACATGTGAACAGGTAGATAACTCTCGAGGGAGAGCGACCTGTCGATGTTGTATTCGAGTTGACACCGGAGACAGCGTTCGCATAAATGCAGACAGTCGATGGACGTAGTCTGATTTACCGAAATTAGGTCTGCTCCGTGGTGTGAAGAATTCTCCGGGCAGACGCAATGTCGTGCCGTATACAAGTTCAGCGGCGGAACATTGGATATCTGCCTTTAAGCTCGTTCTGATCCCTAAAAGAACGAGCGGTAAGGTTTCGTGCCAGTTGCCGTTTTCGTGTGCTCGTAGAGCATTTTAAGTTGGCAGTGAAACCGTTTACTTAACCATTTGGTGCTGGGTGGTAGACGGATATGCTTATGCGTATGCATTCCGTACCAAGCAGCCGGGTCAGCGAGGAGAATAGTTAATAGGGGAAATTTCTCGAATAAAGCGTGGAATTCATCGTCACGCGAATAAAAAGTAACAAGGATTCGGTACACGTACATGTGAGTCTATTATATTAATACTATTCTTATCGTTATCCGTCATGTCGTGTATATTAAATATTAAAAAATATGAAAATATACGACAGACGTGGATAGATAAATCATAGACTCACCGAATTGGCTTCTTTGGAAGATTTGACCAGATGTTGAGGCGTGTTCCAAACTTTGGGATCACCAATTGTAGCGTGGCGTCGAGTTGTGATTAACTATGAACACCGCTACCAAGAAACACGTGCCAAGCGAATCAGAAGGCGAGGGTTGGACGTAACCAAATAGATCCATAAAATCCCCGAGAAGCCAAATATCAGAAGGCAGTTAATGGACCAAGTCGAGGTGTATATTTGCTGGCGATCTCGTGGCATCGAAAGGATACCGAGATCGTGCCAGGATACAACCTTGGTTACAGAAGGTAACCGAATTCGCGCGAAGTTACAATCGAAGTGTGTGTAAAAGAATGGAAGCAAAATATAGCTGTCATTAGCACAGTCAAACAAAAGCACGTTAAAACAAACACTGGTACAGTTGGTTATAATAATAATTGTTTCTATTAAACCAGTCGTGTTCTCGTGATAAATGTGAGTCACTACAGATTTGTCACATACTGAAATGTTTTGTGTTGTTATTAATCGCGTGTGTTGAACAAATTTATTTTCACTTTGTTCCGATTTCCTTACTAATTGGTCTTCCACTTTTTTCTCGCTTTGTAAAGCAACTGCTCCTGTACTTGAGGTTTTCAAAGTATTGGAGGATTTCCGACAGAATCAACCCTGGGTAAGTGCTGATGAATATTTATAATAGATGGATTAATAACATTTTTGAAAGCCAAAACACCTATTACCACAAATAGGTTAGCAGTGTGTTGATCTTCACTGTGCTTTTTAGGTTAATCAAAGACAACATACTATTTTTGTGTGTGGCTCAAACTAAATTTAATTTATTTCCTGAACTGAACATGAATTGTTATTGCTATGATTAAAAACATCAATTTCAAGATTTCTTGTTGATGAATACCGAATTTATTCTTTTTCATGACTATTTCCTTTTACTTTGTAAGTTATCGAGGATAATGATATGTCTTTAGAAACAAATGTTTACCACCTTAACCCACTGGTATAAGAGCTCTAAAGAGTTCATTCCCTTCATGTAGTTTGTGCCGAACTTTTAAAATGACCACATAAATATTACCCATACTTCTGAGCGCAAACTTATAATGATTGGTCTACACCTAATACTGACTAGATACTTACCCGTAAGTGACTTTTCTGTCTACTGAAATAGGCTTAGCAATAGGCTGTTCTCGATTTAATTAGCCCACGGCTATGGTGTTCAAATTAAATCGTTAGTGATTCAGGCTGGGTTCCCTGTATAGTCTGGTTTTATTGACGTTGCTGTTAAAACAAAAAAGCACAACTTATTTCTACGATTTTTTGTATACTTTCTCCAACTATCAAACAAATACAATATATCGCTATCTTGAGTTACTGGTTGTATACCATACTTGACCAAAAGAACTCGGTCAAAAATACTATTTAAGCTTACCAACAAATTGCCGCATGTACTAAACAGTGAGCTTCATTTTCATCATGTCTTCGAAAGGTAAAAATTCATGGCTGTTTAACGTGGTCATTAATTATTAAATACAGTATAATTTATTTATAGTCATGAACACTAGTTAAAATTATTGATACCGACATAATGTTATACTGTTCACTTATCTACGTATGATTTAAGAAAAAATATGGAACAAGTTTCACAACTTTTATGTCATAATTCATAACCGGTGAAACCTATATATGAATTCATCCAAATTAATGTTAATATTTTGATGTTAATTTATTATGAAAAATATTTACTGGTGAGTAATGAGAAAATTAAAGCTTTGGAAATGGTTTATTTATTATTTAGTTATTATCCATGGAACACGAAATATATGTTAATTATTTTGATTGGTTGTACAAGGGTTGTCATGATTGTGAGCCAAAATAATTGGGAACAATTCTATCGATTTAAATGACAGATGCAGTGGCAACTGGATATGATTGAAGAACTTATATTTCATTTTTCATAAATTTCGATGATCAAATATGATATCTAAAATTGATGGAGTCTAGGTAGCGAGAAGCCTTCGAAGAAAATATTTACTGTTACACTATCAGGATTCTGTCACAGAAATGTCAAGTAGGAAGAAGAGTTTCTATAAATCATAACAATAGTCTAGTACTAAAGAGCTCTTTCTACATAGTCTGCCCTCTCAAAGTGAAGCGCAAGATTTCTAGACCACTTCAATGATAATTCTGTTTAGTCTGATGTAATTTGATGGTAGTTTCCTACAACCATTTGGTAACCGTAATTGAATGAGCTCAAAAATCAGGATTTTTATACTGACTGTACTAGATTGTGATACGAAAGAAACAGAACCTATTTGTATGATAGCTTATGCTGACTTAGTTCAGTCAGTCAATTAGCTAGTACATTTTTAGCAGTAATTACTCCTAGTTCATTTTAATAATTGAATCTGAAATCTATAAGTCATGTAATTTTTAACTCTGAGGAACTGAAGCGGCTTTATAATAACCAATTCACTATTGTGATGATGAGATGTTAACATATGAACGAATTTTTATTTCATGTTATAAGGTAAATAGTGAATATTATGTTGGTTGGTTAGACGTGTGGGGCGGGGATCATCATATTACTAATCCTGAATGGGCAGTGGATGGACTAAATCATCTAATCAGCTACTCAATGAGAGTCAATGTAAATATGTAAGTTAGTTTTCGCTTTATTTATTTTGAAGTCTATCAATTTTTCTTCTAGGAAAACGAATGTCATCTTGTGTAACAGCTTTTCATCAGCCTCCAGATTTCATAAATGTCTAGTCTAATTACTTTTCTAGGTAGCTACATGTTTGACGGTTGATTACTGACTACTATGATCAATTTGTAATCTCATAACTGAAGCTATAACATTTCATCGTACTTCTGCAATACATATGTAACATTGTTTCCATTTTTTCTACACTTCAAGAAACTTGATTAGTGTTTTGTTTGTCATCAAAAACATTTTACTACCTAAAAGTGTAGTATAATTTTATTTTTTAAATCTGCTTACATTCCATCGACTTCTGTTTAATCACTGCAGGATGTATATAGGAACTTAGCACATGTGGAATCTGCTTTAGATGTATTCGCAACGACTGAAATTATTTATAATTCTCAGTCCGTTTCTCTTATTCAATGATATACTTATCGGAATACTTAAGTGGATGTAAACTGACTGAATTCAGGCTTCAAATCATTAGTGTGGACTTGGCTAAATAAGTGATCATCGTTTTGATTTTCAGTAACAAGTGTTGTATAGTGGATCAATTTATTTCTTATTGACGAGGAAACCAATATTTCATTTCGTCAGTTGATTTTAGTCTTAATATTTGTGAATGGATTTAAGTAAATCCTCATAAATGTAAAGTATATATGATGACACAGTGTAAATGATAAAATATTAAAGAGTACAACCATGAATAACTTATTTCTGTAAAAGAAACTCATCTCGTTTTTGCAGAGATTATAAAAGAAGATTGCAACAGAATCGCCTTTGACTTCTACTCTGAGCCATATCGGATAACATCTCAAGCCACTGAATTGCACTTTTTCTAGGACACCAGCCAGGAAGTCATGAGAGACCAAGATATGCCAGTTCTATACAGCTTTGCTTCTTACCACGGCTCCATTTCACGAACTGACTATTTGTTCGCTTTCAACCAAGTCTCAGCTTTGGCAAATAATGCCTTGTGTGGAAGTCACTGCTACGACATCCGTAAAACATATCCAATTCACAGAGGCACGTGTTTCAAGATGATGCCACCAATTGAAATATAGTCACTGTGTTGACATACACATTGTTGAACCATAACATTACTAATATGGTGTTGTCATTGCATGTCATTGACCCTCCTGAGACAACGATAGTCGAACATCGGGTCGTCGAATGCCCTCGGCCTAAAGGTCGAGTTTTAAAAGCGTTGTAAACCGGGCATTTCAAAGCTCCAAAGGTGGCTAATATTAGTATGAATCACTCTGACCTTCACTATGTCCAGATTAGTCGCATCAGTCAGGCCACCAACACACACAACTGCCCGGTTACAAGAACGTTCTGATTACCTCTCAAACGTCACTGTCTAGTGTGAATGAAGGCAAATTTTTTAGCCACTGAAGCGCATGATAAGCCAACAGCAAACCACGAAATGATCAGAGTCCAGATTAGCATCCCAAAGGAGCAGGAGTTTTTTACATATCTATGGCAGCGGCAGTTAAACATTGTGTGACCAATCTAAGTACAAGCTTCAGTTTCAGAGGGAGGATGCCGCATCGTACATCGGATATTTAAATAGGAGATTGTAGAAGTTAAGTCTCTGTTTTCACAGGTGAAATCACGAGTCGATATAAGCTAGACCACCATTTAAAACCTGGAAGTACTGGACGGCCGTTTCGTCCTAGTATGGGACTCAGCAGTGCGCATCATCATTTATTCGCTATTCATAATCCTTGCCGAGGTATGGTGAAGTGCTAGATGCCAAGATATTTCTCATATTTTAATACATAGTATCATCTGTGCTGAATAGAAGGGGAAATGAGAAGGCTCTTACGAATAGTAAAAATAGCTAAACAGCTCCTTTTTCTTGTTTATCTGATTTTAGTGTTCAGGATACAATTCATGTATTTGGAATGATCATACATTTTGATTCTTTTGTCGTTTATGAAAATACTGTGTAGAAATTTAAATGTTAAGGTTTTATAGAGCTAAATGAGCGCTAATAAGCTGTATTTCGAGACAGTATTCTTTTTTTTTAAAGGTATATGTTTCACGGTGGAACTAATTTTGGATTTTGGAACGGTGGTGCAAGACCTGAATCATCAATTACAAGTTATGATTATGATGCTCCAATCAGTGAAGCTGGTGATATAACAAGAAAATATATGATAATAAGAGATCTACTTTTCCGGGTAAGTATTTTTCATGAAAATTTGACGTAAAAATCCATCCTTTATCCCAAATTTATTTTAGTGTGGATAAATAGTTATGTTATAGTGTACAGCGTCTAAAATCACTAACTACTATTATCTGACATGCTATTATCTAATCTATCGAGAACGTTCCACTGGATCCGGGAAGCATACGAAAGTGGTAATATTAACAGAGGATAATGCTGAATTATTATGATAAAATACAATGACCAGTAAATGATGCATGTTGTTCGGTGTGACAAAGGCAAACCCTAATTTATGTTTTACCGCAAGATAATTGTATGCAAAAGTGTTTAAATTCGTAAATAAGTTCGGCAAATAAACAAACAGGAACCATTCAATTGTTCATTTCTGTTTATTGGTTGTCTTCAACTAATTTGATACAAAGACTGCACTTTGATTGATTGACAGGTTCGTAAAAAGACAGCTGTTATTGAGACTGAATCGAAAGTGATAACTTCATGTGGTATTCGTCAGGGTTGTTCGCTTTCCCCATTTTCATTCAATTCATCATGGATGTTCTCCTAAAGAAAACACTTCATTTGACTTTTCGGGGGTTGATCTTCTATCAGGAAGTTCACTTATCGATTTATGTTATATAAATGATAGTCCTATTTAGTGAAGACGCCACCACATTGCAGAGCTTTCTAATCGCCTTGACTAATAATGCTAGTATGTTTGAGATGATTTGCTGTTTAATGTTTTGTTGATTCGCTTCTGTCAGTGGTGGAATTAACCTACCTGATTCCGCTCAAAATTTGTGGCGAGTACAATGTGTTTGAGTTTTATCTGGTCAGAGTTAATACGAAGTAAAGCCATAATTTATGGTTTTGTATTTATAGACATAGGTAAGTCATCAGTGAAGAACATTTGTTTTGATTATAACACAGACTAATATAATTTACGTAAGTAGTCCTGATAAGATCTGTTGAATTTCCTGTCATTTGTTTTGTTCTAAGAGAAAAGGCACCGAACCACCGGAGTTACCAAGAAATACTACAAAGATTTCGTATGGTCGTGTTAATATGAAATTTGTAAGTCAATGTTTTCGTTTCATAAACGTGTCTTCATCTCAGAATTGATTTTGATTTCGAAATATATGACTGTGTTTTATTGCCAGCCATGAAATTGTAGAATTGTTTAGTCGATATTCAAGCTTCAGTTTCTAACACCATTCACTGGATAATTTGATGTCTTATGTGTGATGTATATATTATTATCGGTTTAGCACATTTAATTTCACTCATTCGTTTATGTAGATTTAACAAATGAGGATTTCAGTCAACAGTTGTTGCAGTTTTATGCTCGAAGTCCTGTATTCCTCTCAGATTTTTATCTCTTGTAATGGGATAGAACAACAGAAATATAGTTTTATGGCTTTCGATTGTTAATGGAACAAAACTCGCTCACCGTTTTGTGATAAGTGAGCAACTCTATGTTATAACTCTGTATTCATACTTCCCACTTTTATAGCACAAAAGGTAGGGAATATAATAGTTATATTTCCACTAGTTATGTTAAGTTAGTTTCACTTTTCGTCGATTATTCTTTCTTTACTTTTCTTAGTTATACTTTTTGTTGTTGTGCTATTTTGAAGCATTCTGGTATTAAGTGTAGACATTATTGTATCAGTTAAGCGATCAGTCAAATTAATATAGAATGTGCTTTATCATAAATGCGTATTTCGATGTAGAAATATTGGGACTAGGGGTGCTGGAAATAGTTGTATTCATTAGTAATGTTTTAATAAATAAACAGTGACATGTTGTCTGTCAACATCAACTCTATTGTTGAAGGAAATCGTGTTTTCTAATTTCCAGATATCAGTGAATCAGCACCTTGATTAAAAGTTAGATAGATGAACCACTTTTATCATTGGAATACCAAAAACAGTTGGAAAAGAAACTGTAGTTACTCATCATATGTTTCAAATCAATCTTCTTAGAAATTAACAGTGATGATTCATTGTGAAAAAAAATTAACGATAAAATTCGTAAATATCTTTCTTAGACATTACTTGTGAAAGACAGTTCACGAAGACCATGAAAGTGGTTTTTACCCAATTTTACAAAATTGTCTTTAACAAAAACCAGTCATAATGTTGTGAATAAAGACTTAGTAGGGAAAACCAATTTATTGTTTAACGCAAAATTGCTCAATGGTGTCGTAAAATATGAAAATCATACACTATATACGTCTTTTGCGTATCTTTCTTGAGTTATCCTCTACACATTCCATAATTCTTTTGGTCCTGTTGTTATTTCGATTGCCCTCTGTTTTCCTTTCTCTTCTTATTTCAATTTTCTGCTGATAAGCATTCCAGTTCCTGCTACGTACTACTTATACCTGTCCGCATAAGTAGCGCTCACCACAATAGAATAGAAATAATTATTTTGTATGTTAGCCTCTTTTATAAGTTTCTCAACTGTTGTGAGATGACTTAGTTAATCTGGAAAATACTGTGTATTCGGTTGGACACATTTCAACCAATCTGACCAATTTCCTTTTCAAAGGCATCTTATATGAACATAAGTTCTACAATTAAATCAAAGGTCAGATGAATAGAAAAATGATAATTGGGATGAAAAATAAATCAGAAATTACCAGGGCATGTCCAAGGTAAAGATAATTTTATAGTTGACTTCATGAGTCAATTAAATCTAGACTACTATAGAAAACCTGGAAGTACTGGACGGTCGTTTCGTCCTAGTATGGGGCCCCTCAGCAACAAGCACCCAGAACCTATCGGTCTCGCGCGCAAATGGTTAACCTCTAGACTACTGGACCGGCATCCAACGGTATTGTCTAACTTCAACCGATTCACGAAATTGCGCCGCCGTGGATGCGCACTGCTGAGGAGTGCCATACTAGCACGAAACGGTCGTCCAGTGCTTCCAGGTTTTCCATGATGGTCTAGCTTCAATCAACTCATCAATTTAACTACAGAATTACTAAAAATCTCCACAAAACCCCTTCTGATACTAATGAACATATGATCAATAGCGACTGACTTCAAGAGTTAAGTCCTGGAGTTCTAGTGAGAAGCAGTGACCAGTGGAGTAAAGATAATTGTGTGATCAGGCTTTTCTCAACTTGTTTATTTAAATACATCACAAAATGTAAACAACTTTTTATGTATTTATTTGGACATAACTATTGTTACATAAGGAACACCAAAGTAAATACGCGACACAAATATGTGAAGGATGTTCTGAAGGGATAAAGGAAGGAGGGTCAGTATAATCAACAACAATAAATGCATGAGAATAAATGAGAAAGGGTAGTATATAACAGAAGAGACAGTCTAGTTAAAAAGGTACTATCAGGAGGCATTTTCGACAGACGTCTCTTTGTTGGGGATGTTAGATCCTCAGAACTCACTTGGCAAATGCCTTAATTTTATAATTTTATTTTTGAAGCTTAAATTTCCTTGTTTTCCCGCCAAAAGCGCACTTTTCACCTTCATGTCGTATTTCCCACTTGGGAGAATCTTTAACGCTATTGGTCTGTTGTGTATTTTTAGTATGCTATTTTTGCTACGCTTCCCAAGGACAGTTTTATGCTGTATATATACGTTTGATTTGTGTCTGTTATTGTTCCCTCGAGCTTCTGGCCTACGGAATATACTTTCCCGTTCCAAGCTTGGACTTCTTCCTGTAGTTAGCGGGGCTGGGACGTATCAAATAGCTAGCTTATTGGTCTACGGTCATAAGTTTTTGTTCCGTTCCCATACTAAGAGAACTCGTAATAGCTTCAGACCTAGCACTCTTCAAATTACACTTTGGAAATTCATAATGTGAGTGTGGAGTGTTTTTAGGTGTACTCATTGAGGTTGATGATTAGTTGTTTGATTCATAATTCAGCTAACATGTATTCTTTTTATTCATTTGATAACAAAACTAAAATGTTGATAAATTTATTTCCATTGGTCGTTTGAATTTTTCCATTGATGTTTGACTGGGATTGATCAGTCTCTTTTGGCATATGTTCGTCCAGTGCGGATCCCTTCGATATTACCGCTAATTCATTATTATAGGTGCTGGTTGGCAGTGGGCTCCAGGATGCTCACTTCGTCCTGTTTGAGACCCAGTTGGACGTATCTGAACGTCTCAGTTTGTTATGACTTGCCCTGTTAATGATCACGTGACTAGATCGTCAAATTTAGGATGCAGGTATATCCACCTTAGGAGTTCCATATAGGACGAAATGCGTTTTTTGAATCCCTTTGTTAGCCATCAACCTCTGTATTTGGGATATTAACTATTGAGTCTATTAGATAGACTGAAGGGTTATGTTTCACTAGTAAGTGAAATGATGATCGGTGTACAACGGTAGAAAGTTTTAACTATGAAAGTGAGCGGTCTTACTTTGGTCTATGGATTGGTTTTTAGAGCAATTAATAATTATCGTTTCGAAATCGGGTGTATATCATTAATTTATGACCAAACCTACCTAATAATACTGCTTTTATTGTTTTTAAATATTTAGGAATCTCATCTTCTAGAAAATAAAGCTCCTGTTACTCATTCTGCGTTTCCTCTGATTATGGAAAGTTTGCGACAGGTAAGCTGCTTAACGTATAGTTTTTTCGACTTTTGATGAACTCTTTGGTACCTGAATCCACTATCTGTTGCGATCGTCTTGAGATTTATTTTTGACAATGTTTCTGAATGGCAAATACTTTTAAAGAAGACTGACACATTGCTAAAACATATTATGTAGTTTGGCTAATATTATAAACTTTGATGAGAGATAGCGATAATAAAAATATAACTATATGTCTATATGACTTCCATTTGTAAAACATTCCTGAAATGTTTGTGTAAATCTCAAGTATTTACGTTAGTGTATTGTGGTTGACTGCGTTACTTTCATGTATACAGCTTTGAAAATGTTCATGTACTCAAATATCAATGAGGATCAAATTCAAATTTATAAAAGATATGCGTAGTAGTTATAAAATGGAATGGTGATTAGAAGCAATTTTAATGGGACGTCTGCAATAAATAGTAAATTACAACTATCTATTATTGGTTTTTCTTTGTACATCGTACAGGTAATGTTAAACACAAATGAAATAAAGCATACTGTTATTACGCCAGTTTATGTACATGTTTAAAGCCTTTCACAAAGATTATAAACATTAATCAGGTGGTTCTCTATTGTACTATGTACGTTCACAGCAATATACTTCCTTGACCGTCTAGTTGTCATAGGATTCTGCTGAAAAATCAGTACTTTCATATTATTATCATCTCAGTAATGTGTTGTGTTTTACCAACAAATATCCTACCAAAATTTTGTAGTATTTCATTATATTGTTCTTGCATGAAATATTCATTTGTGCACAGGAACTAATACATGACCCTAGTCCTTGAATATAATGAATATTAGACTGAGCCATGTGCATGAGTGCGGACTACCTGGTTGGGGTTTTAGTGATTTTCGTAACCAAATGGTTAGCGACTTTGAGTGACGTGGTTCATAACTGTTCGCACCAACTACATTCACTTCATGTCTTTCCTTAGATCCTAAGTTTCTAAATTACCTTACAAATCTTTTTATTTCACTAACTTAATTTTCCTGTTCGAATCGTATCTTTGATGCCTAATCTTTTCCATTACCACTAATACTATTATTACCTCTCCTACTCTGGGATTTGCCCTATCAGTTTCATCTCTCTGTTTTAATGGGGTATGGAAGAATTGAACCGATTTACACTCACCAAGTTTTACATTGTTTGTGGCTGATTGGCTAGCAGTAATTAGATCTGACGCTAAGACAGGATACATAATTGAGTGAGACGGTCTCTATACAGAATTCAATTATTATTCCATCAAATCTGGTTTTTCTTTTCAGCGAATTTCTTTTTTAATTGTTGAAGATAGAATTCCTCGTTATTTTCTCGTTGTGCCACTTGTTCATCTTCATCGTTAACTAAGAGTTCTGTATGAACCTAATTTACAAAATTAATATTTCAAGTGAGTTATGACTCCGATGTCTCGTGTATGGAAATGTTCAGGTATGTAACATAAACTAGCAAATACCAGAACTGCATATTCATACCATTTTTCATTTGGTTGTAGGGAAGGATTCTAACTTGATTCACTTAAAAATCTTAGTGGCAATTAAAACTGGAACAAGTATAAGACGAAATTCTAGCATGAAAAAGAATTTTTTAAGATGATTTATACTCTGCAATGCAAATATTTGCTATCAAATCTTCATTGTTAACAATAATTTTGTGTATTTGTTTTTATCACACACTGTTTATTGTAGCGTATTTTGTACGTTACTTGATTATTTTTGATTTTTTTCAGTATGACGGCTTCATGATTTATTCAGTCACTGTAACAGTCCCACGCAATGGATCTATTTTTCTGGAGTTCTTTGGTATCTCAGACATAGCGCATATTTATACTGGAGATAAATCTGGGCATTATGTAAGCATTTACTTTGATGACTGTGAAGAATCTCTTTATTCACAGTTACGTAAATATTTATACATAGCCTTGATAACTGAACATCAGCGATATTGAATACAATAAATATTCGCATAACTAATGGAAGAAAATGTCTCACTTTATTCTTTCAGCCATAGAATCGGTTTCTACTATCAGTACCTCGAAAAGTTTTCAGCAAATTGTTTTTGAAGTGAATGAATGATTCAGTGGACGCTCAACTTTGGACCGGTAGGCTGGATTTCGTAAGGATTGATCTTGTACCTACGAAATTGAGATACTCCCAATCATAGCTAACCATTAGTTGAATGGAATCCGTTACTTTACATCAACGTCCTTGACTATGAGAAAGCGTTTGACGGTGTGGACAAGAAAATTTAACGGAACCTTTTGACACTGTTATACCTGAGAAGATTATCACCATCAAACAAAATTCATACGACGGATCACACTGAAAAGTCATCTATGGAAGATAGCTGATAGATGTATTCCAAGTGAAGAGCGGTGTCAAACAGAGCTGCTTACTCTCACGGTTTTTCTCTCGGTGGCTGAGTGGATTATGAAAACCTCCACATCTCAGGGGAAGCACTGAGTACAGTTGACAGCTTGATTACTTCTGGATGACTTGAACTTTGTATATGACCTAGTCTTTCCCAAACATACTAACAACTGCAGAGAACAGACATTGTAGCGGCAACTTCTGCACCAGTAGGCATCAATATACACAAGGGATGAGGCAAGATCTTAAAATGTAACACAGTGGCTACCAAATCACACTTGATGGGGAAGTTCTGGAAGAGGTGGAAAGTATTACGTACCTGGACAGCATCATCGATCAACAGGAGGGATCTGATGCAGATATAAAAGCAAGAATTGGCAAATCAAGGGCAAGATTCTTAGAACTGAAGAACATATGGAACTCGAAACAACTGTCAGACAACATCAAAGTCAGAATCTTCAATACGAACGTCAAGACAGTTCTGTTGTATGGATCTGAAACTTAAAGAACTACTAAACCATCATAAAAAAGCTCAAGTATTTGTGAGCAATTGTATACACAATATATTGAATGCCCGCTGACCGAATACCATCAGAAACAGCCTACTGTCGGAGAGAACAAACCAGTTTCCGACTGTGGGGGAAATCTTGGAAAAATGCCGGCAGTCGATGAATCACATTTAAGGGAAATTATCATAAGACACGCCATAACTTGGGATCCTCAAAACAAAAAGAAAAGATGTAGACCAAAGTATGCATGGGGCGGGAATTAGGCAGACATCAAAGGAATGAATAGTGACTGTAAACAAATGGAAAAGATTGCCCAGGACAGAGTTGGATGGGGAATCTTAATGGAGGGCTTATGTTCCTCCACTGTGGGTAATAGGCGTAAGTACGTAAATAAGTAAACTATCATCAGTATAGTGTTCTGACACCTATGGTGCCTATGAAGTGTATCTCGAATGTATTTATCCTGTAGAAAACAGTTTCAACTTAAGGTCCCTAATTAGGATATCCTGGCTACCTATAAAGATGGTTGTGAATGCTTTATTTTCTCTTCGTTAATACGACTTTGTTCACAGTCTTTGTGTTCTCCTTTTGTATAATTTGGTAGTTTTGGAATTGCTTTAATATTTGAATGAATTCATTTTTGTCAAGAAATCATAATTATTTGATGTGTGTATCTACTTAATTTTAGTGCTTTTCAAGTAAGTTTCCATTGGTAGGGGGCCAAACATACGGTTATTAAATTCGATAGATTTTTGAGTTTGACTTGTAAAGGTGATACTTTATCGATGCGGCCACACTAACCGAGCTATTCATTATTCTCATTTATGTTAGCATCAATAAATTAGATTTAATTATGGGCAGTCCGAAATTTCATACTCTAATTGTCATTTTTTTTACTCGTATTTTCGTCAAAGCTGTTCTCGTTATATTACAAATTTTAAAAATGCTTTTTAAATTTTTTTACTTAATTAGACATTTCATGGCTCAATACGATATAAAAATAAAACGTTTCAATTAAACAACATGCATGACGTAAGTAACCTTACTATAATTGCTGAAAATGCTGGACATATTAATTATGGATCTAACATGTATTCGGATGTAAAGGTAAGTCGAAGAATGCATTATCTCCTTATTTTGTGCCTTAATAATGAATCAAATCATTGTAATCGTAAAATAATGCTCTCATACTGTGATTTATTACTAGACGCCGTCACACTGTAGTTACCGACACCACAAATGGGGAAAATCTATTGTGTTTTAAATACAAAATTACAGAGTATCTTGGTAAAATATAAAAACCATACAATGAATACTTCATTTGCGAATTTCCATCAGTTGTCCTTCACATTCTGTACGATTCTTTAAGTTCACAATTCCTTTCTATTCTCTTCACTCGATCTTCTTAGCCTTCTGCTACCAGGTTTTCCATTTCCAATTGGTGTTACATACAGCTTATGTCTGTCGGCATAATTAGCATACACCACGGCACTACTATATTTAAAGTCTTTGACCTTCTGATATGATTAAACGTTTTGATTAAGTAAGTATTTAACTAAACGTGTAATGTGACTGAATACGTAAAGCTAATGACTGTACCATAAGGTTAACTAGAAAATAGAGAAGCAATGATAAACAGTCGATATATCCTGTATGACCATAAAGGATACAAGTGTAAGTATCATTACCAAGGTTTGACTTGATAATTGCGAATAAATAGAGCATTGGGAAGATTTTTATAAACAAAATATTATATTTGTAATATTCCAATGAGTAGACATGTCAATTGACTTGTTCAGACCTATTATTTGATTGATCGTACATAATATTCTTACATTGTCCCTTTGTACTACTTATCCTTGGATTAGTTTTGATTTGGTTATTTATTCTCTGAAGGAGTGGCTTACACTGAGTCACGAAACATCAGAAAATTTAATTTTTCTACTCATTGGGATATTACAAATAAATTATTTTATTGATACAAGTGTAAATTCCAGGCTGATAGGTTCTAACCTTGGTTGTCGTCCCACCCCTAACATTTTAATACAAACCAGTTAACGTCTCTCTAGGAGACTGCAGAAATAAACTACTGTTATTCTGTCAAATTTATACTTGTAACAACATCTTTGTCATAACTGACGAGAACGAATGTTAGAACATGTTCCCCTATTTTATTGTAAAAGTTAAGTTTCAATTATAATCCTGTTTTTAGGGTATTACTGGACCGGTAATATTGAATGGAAAAGAACTTCGAGATTGGACAATGATTCCAATTAGAGATCCGTTTGCTATAGTGAGCACAAACAAAATGTGAGTAGAATATCATTAGATTAACACTTTTCGCCTTTACGTAAAGGTGACTGTCCTCATGATAAAGTTTTCGACTTGACTGTATTTGCCGTCGAGCGAGTTTCATTTGTGAATAACAATGTAATTATCTCTACGTTCTAGCGAAAAATGATTTGGTATTTTAACTAGCTTTATTGGAAAGTAGGTTCCTAGACTTAAACCTATACAGTTTTTCAAATGTATGTAATCGTAGTTTCCAATGAAGCACATTAATTTTCGAATAGAACATGAACAAAAATGGAACGATAAAATATCCAGTTATTTGTTATGAATTATAGAGAATTTACTACTGATGTTTCGAATACGTGATTCTGATAAATAACCTGTTATAAAGGCTTTATCATGGTTTTCTCTATTTGTTATTTTATGCAAAGCTACTTTTTGGTGGGGTGATGTATTCAAAATAGATTGATTAAAACTGAAAGGTATTGTGAACGTAAACAAGTAAGAATGGTAGTATTCGAAAATGTCAATTTTTAGCATCCTCCCTCTCCCAAAACTAGCACTTCACTAACCAATCAGTTTTCTATTTTTATTTGACACTAACATTAACAGTTCGGAGTGACATGCTGCTCAACATTTTCGGCTTAATCGAATCTGTCAATTACCTCTGATGTTACATGACCAGGATTCACTGTGTTCTAAACGGTGTAAATGTCAGTGTTATAATCCATTGAAGTCTGTCTATCCATTAGCTGTGCACCAGTTAAGGGGAGATTCATAGTGCGTGTGTGTGTTTATTTAGCTATTAAATAATGATTAGTGTAGAAGGTCATGGTCATTTCAGCTCGTTTGTTCGGGGTTAAATGATGGATTGATGTTTGGATTTTAGAAGCATTCAATTTTATGGGTAAGAGTAGACAAAGTGATTTGCCATACTCAACTTACTGGCCAAAACATTTATTGTGTAATGTTTTGGCGAAGTATGTTGATGAAGAACAGTAACTAATTTTGATCACAAGTTCACTTCATATAGATGTCTCAAGATAATTATGTAACTACATTGTTAGTCATTTAGTTAGTTGCAACCTAGGAAGTTGCACAGATCTGTATCGATCGAAGTTGACACTTCATTACTAATCTGTTAGTGTTTTGTTTGATTATGGAGCTTCACTTAGTTGACTCTGAATTTATTGAAACATTACGCATTCCGTTGATGTTTAATTTCATCATTTTTCAATCCTAAAAGTATGAATAAGTACCTTAACTGGTGACGCCGTAGTTGAGATTGTGTGAGTATATCATTTGTCGATGCCAAATTGTATTTGAGTGATACATCGAACTCGTCACTATGATTTTACCATTATATTCTTTTATGCATAGTGTACATTTCTACGCACATAATTTTACTGTAGAAAACTTGTGACATTCAAACTTCAGAGTTAGTTCACAGGAGCAAAAGGACAACGATTTCTATGTACATGAAACATATATCAGAAATTTTACTAAGCTTAAGTTTATAAACACAATAGATGATAAGATGTAAATAATTCAGAACATCTGTCCGCTTGAAAGAGGTTCTACTGCCAACTGGATAAATGAATATGAGAATATGACAATACTTCTGTCATAACCTGTTGAAAGTAGAAATCCTGAGGTTTATACTAATGATCCAAGTTATAGTTATATGCATCTTTCTAAGCAGAAGTTAGATAGCCAGCTTAAAAGTAGTATTGACCTGATTATCATCTACATTTATTAGGCTGAATATTTTCTGTAAGTCCCAACTACAAATATTTCCTCATAGGCGTAACGAAAAACCTTGAAGCTGATTCGGTAAATTTATGAATTGGTTTTCTGTTGAAAGTGAGAAGGATGAATCTACAACTTGCCGAAGCAAATGTCTTCAGATCATAATATCGGAAATTCTTATCCAATCAATTCCTTAACACTCGCTTACTTCAGACTTTTTTGTTCTGTTATCAGATGAATGATTTGCTATAAAGAAAGGTTTTCTAATTTACTGACTAGTAAAATGACCTTTCAGTTGTGTTGTCAATTGGAGAATAATTATTATTAGGCAATCAAGCAAATCATATTTCCAGTCAAACTTTCTGAGGAACGTTTTCTGTCCAATATTAAGATCGCGTTACCAAGTTGTTTCGTGTGAATTAATTTTCATGATTTGAAGTTAGTTTCTTGCACCGAATCAATCTTTTCCCAATGTCTGAAGTCATCATTAGTTCTTATTCAGGACATGTTATCTACAGAATATGTGTTATAGATTGGTTCAGTAGAAGGTTCATTGTCTTTAAAATACATTGAAACATTTTGCTCAGCAATCACTAATGTTTACTAGTTTCTTAATGAACTTGAATTTTAATTGAAATCTGGATTTAATGTCATCGGACTTATTTCATGTTGTTGTTTTAACGACTGTTTATCTATTTTAAAAGGAAACATTTTCTGTCAGAAAAGAAGTGGCCAGTACCTGGATCTATTTATCATGGGGCATTCATTGTTGAGGATTTGGGAGATACTTTCATCCAACCTGATAGTTTTGTGAGGGTAAGGAAGAGGTTTAATATTTGAATTTAAGATGTAAATGTAAAAGTGTGTCTAACAGTCATTTACATGACAAACTGTATTCACAAAACATGAATATGCTTTCCTGATTACTTTCATTCTTTGAACATCGACGCAAACATAAAAATCTGTTAACTCTCTTTGAAAGTTGATTCAATTGAAGAATTACTACAAGAGAGTGGTTTATTGTAATATGGTCTTTATAATTTTACTCTGATATATCTTACTAACTACTGTCTTCATTTTTATCGCCTTCTTCACTAAATACATGATTAACGTATTACAACACGGTATCAAACTGACATACGCTTAATTTTAGATAGCTTTTTTAGTAAGACACTGGCTGTTTATAAGATACGATTCCAATCTTTATCATAAGCGCTTCTCATAGACATTTGATTATGACTTTAACAACTTCAGAATCCATCTTGTTATCCTAAGAGAACAGTCGACAGGTGCAGGAGCTGTTGAAAGTTATTTACACAAATAAATCTTGACCGTTTTGTGAAATTCTGTGTAGTGAGTTCTTTCGAATACAGAAGAGAAGCTTTCAAAGCATAAATTGAATTGGTTTGCAATGAAGTGAGTGGCCTTAAACGTCTCGTCTGTATCATTTTTTTTCAAATAACAGACAAAACTAAATTTGCAGCTTTTTGATATTTTGATGTGAAATCTTGTCGACTACATACGGTAATGTCTAATAGCAAGTCAGAAAGCGTTAGCTATTTTACTGAAGTATTTTACTTTACCCCATGTCTTTATGTGATTATAAGTAGCCTTTCCGATTGCAGTATTTTGTCGGTGTCATTGTTGTGGAACAGTGGTTCAAAGCTGTTGGTGAATAAATACATATCTATTTTAAATGTCGTTTAACTTCAACTCCCATGTGTCGGTTCCGTAGTAGAATAGATATCAGTGTTCTAAACAATATGTTAGATGAATGAAATTTAATAAAAATTTAACAGATTGATTTGGACACTCCAAAATAGTCTGGTAAATATTTATTATGATCACTAGATAATGTGTAACTTGAAGCTTTTTGCCACATACCTATAGGAATGACGACCAATGTTGTCAGACTGACATATCTTCTATTCATTCGTAATTATGAAACTAGGATTTTTATTGTCATGAAATCTAGGTTCATAATCTTGTTTTATTTCGTTCATAGGGAATAATATCAGTTAATGGTCATCATGTAGGACGATTTGATCAGCAACAAGGACCACAGTTTCGACTGTATGTACCGAAAACATTTTTAAAACTGGGTAGAAATCATATAACAATCACAGAATTACGAGGTCCTATAAAAGATAATCCACATCATGTCCATATCACATTTCATGATCAAATGCTTTGGAAGTAATTATTTATCATTTTGTGAATGCCAGTTTTAAGCCTTACAATGTATTAATTGGACAGAACTAATTTTTGAATTTCTTTTATTCATTATTATTTTTATTGCTGCCTATTAATATACACAATGAACATTGCGCATTTGTTAGATTTTCGTTAGTTTCTAAATGTCCTAAAAGTACATGTGTTTGCGAAAATCATTGTCTTACATTTTCCATAATTCTGGTCATTACAGTCATCTTTTAAGCAGTTTGAGGTGCTTGTTTATGGAAATAAAGAATCGTTGTTTAGATGTTTGATTTGTAATGGGAATTATTAAGGGTGGATATCTTGTGATCGAATCTGAGACCATCTAATAATCATTTTTAGTGAACAACATGACCGCGAATTATGCCAGGTATTCGGCCGTTAAAAATAATCAAGCTATCGTATGAGGAAATGTGTACCTTCTATTATGATTGAGAAAACATTTTTGTAAATGAAATGTTCTAAATTTTATTTTATTTGACTCCAAAACACGTTTACATCATCTGCTAAGTTGGCACTCAGTTTTATCATTGAAATATTCTAACGTACTTGAGGGTAAGCCGCCGGACACATACCGACATTCAAATAGATGTAAACCAACCAGCAATAGGAGAAATCAGCAAATTCATCAGGCAAATCAATAGCGTCAAACAGCAAGACCAGAAAGCATACCAGCTGAAGCACTAGAGCAAACTATTAAAATGTTAGACGTTTGGGAGGAAGAACACATACCTTTGAACTGAACGGGAAGTTACTTCATCAAGATATCAAAAAAGGATTCCTTAGTACGTTTGAGAACTACTATCAGTACCTCGAAAAGTTTTCAGAAAATTGTTTTTGAAGTGAATGAATGATTCAGTGGACGCTCAACTTTGGACCGGTAGGCTGGATTTCGTAAGGATTGATCTTGTACCTACGAAATTGAGATACTCCCAATCATAGCTAACCATTAGTTGAATAGAGCTGAACGGAAGTAAGGGTCATGAGGTTCTGATCCGGTAGCGAGTGACTCAAATTCGGAGATTGTAACGATTAATTCGTAACTCAAATCCACACAGAAAATTTTGTGGTGTTTATCAACTTGAGTTTTTCCTACCTCTTAACCCAACATCTCGTTTCTTCACGTTTGTTAAAAAAAGAATTTCAAAACACAATAGTCTGTAATATTCCGAATTTGGTTGATAGCCATCTCTTTTGGAGTTCGTCACTGAGATGATTGAGACGAAGTACTCGTCCAGTAAAGATTCTGAACTTTTAGGCAGATTCTTTACTGTCATCCCTGATATTTATTTAATCAATCCTTCAAAAATTAGTTTCTTGGGAGAGTCATTTTCAAGCATATATCAGAGAGAAGGCACTGGTCAGTAGTACACATTGTTTTTTTTATTTATATGATTATATGCACTCATAACATTTTGGCCTGTGTACTTTTGCACATTATGTTATTCTGATTAAGTCACCATGTGTTGATGCGTCGCTTGTGTGGAAAAGGTACAAACGTATTTTTACACAACTTGATAAATTCTTAATAGAAGCGAACCATTTTTATCGTTCTGTTGTGGAAATTTGAGTTATGACGACGCTTTTTTATTTTTCATTCAGATAATTATTTTGATTGAAATCTTCAACAGATGAATGTAAAACATTGCTTATTACCGAAAGTTTGTGTTCGTGTTTTCTCCGACAATGTAATTGGAAGCGCCTGCTTCGACCATAATTTCAAGACTGAACTGTTAGCAGCATACCGGAAAGTAATGAAATTACACTGCCAAACGATTTCTGTTATCCAGTAGGGCAGTTCCACCTTACATTCCGGACAAAAACTGGTTGATAAATTCTTCCAAGTGATGAAGCTGTACTGCTAAATTTCTGTAACAACTGACGAAATCAAGAATGGGATTAAAAGTTGTAAATCAGACGGTCATATTCTATTGCACGTATATTTTTTAAATATGGATGTTGTCTGTCCTTATTAAAAAAACTACGATTTTCCGATCCCATGAAAACTGTATAGATCTCTTTGAATTATAACCCAATTTGAGATATTTAAGATAACGGAGCAATAAATCCCCTAGCAGTATAATTGAAATTTTGCAGTAGAAAACTCCATACTTGATTATTTAACAGCCTTAAATGTTGAGTCGTAACTAAGCCGTATCCTACCAGTCTGTTTGAAGTCTAGACCTTGAGGTTGATTTAATATCGCAAGCGCGGGTTATGACTTTCCAACATTCTAATCACACGACAGAATTTTTGAAGTATTTATGTTCAGTTGATTCGTGCTATTTATCAAAGCATTTTGTAGTTACACTTCCTTTAATACCAAATGCTCTATAAATGGTCATAGTGAATTTGGAATACTTTATCATGGAAAATATTTTAGGTGAAGCTATTCTTTCTGAAACACTATACTATAGTTTAAATAGCGAAGGGATGTAGTAGCACTGACCTAAATACGAGCGAGTTGTATGCAGCCTACTTGGTTGGGGTCCGCGTAACCAATGGTTGGAGAATCTGGGTGAAATGACCCAAAATCGATCACAATGGCGTAGGTGTATACACTCTATCTTCCCTTAAACTATGAGATTAAAATCGCTTTATAACTTTCTTTCTATGACCTAATTCTTTCTTCCTGTACTATGTCCTTATATGCAATCTTTCTTTTATATATTACCACCTGTGAATTAACTACTTCTATGAATTCGGTGTTCATCTTTCTATACTAGTGAGGTATGGCACCTTGAACCGATGCACATATTATATGCGTGGTCCTACGTTGTAGCTGACTGACTGACTTGTATGTTTTGTCATAAGCTTTTACTAATAAATTTCACTAACTAGTATATATAGAATTTTATTCACTTAGGGAAAGCCTCCTGTTTTTTTAATTGAGAAATTGCATATTTTCTCAAGAAAATTCTTTTGAGATATTTCTGTCATTTTTATGAACATTCACTGCTTGCTGTTGTCATTCAGTATGCGGGTATTTTAACATTTGTGAGCTTTGCTAATCGTTACACCCATGTTTTGTTTAAATTTATCAATTGGTTTGAATGCGTATTCCTGAATTTTATTAAATTCTCTATGATTGTTCCTTTACCAATTTTTTTCAAATATCACACTTCCAGAAGTCAAGCAGTTGTTTGAACTAATTGTAACTAACATAATGTCTAATATAACGGACTTGAACACGTTTGTCATGAATTACCTATACAAAATCCGTACGGATATTTTTCTGGAACGTTTTTTGACCAATGAACCTGTCTGATGATTCTTCATTAGAAATATTTGTTTTGAATGTATGGGTTGAAGTAGTAAGAACCGGAGCGACTATAGAGTATGTGCAAGAAAGAATCTTTATTTGAAATTCAGATATTTCATGTATAAGTGGTACAGATACCACAGAACCTAGTTCCCATTTTTTGTTGTAATAGCAAACTACTTATCAGTAGTATACTAGAGAAGACGTATTATTTGGATAAATAGTTTACATTTTCGGCCAGGCTGTTATTTCCGACTTACAACATAGCACAGTGTTTTTTTCCTACTCACTGGCATCATACTTGCATAGCTATGAGAGTAAAATACAGTCAAAATAATGTCTGACGGATTACTTTTGTTGAATTTGTATAAGTTGTTTATATAATGTTTTGTATTACATAATTCAACTAACAATCAGTGTGATTGCGAATTTGTGCTTAAGCTGCCGTATGGTTATGTATTTCACTTGATATTAACATGAATATGTAGAAAGATGTAATTTGTTTGGTTTCACTTGAGCAAGTAGTCGGTAACCGATGTATATCATACATTTTAAATGACTAGATTGTAATATACATATATATGAAAATTATTTGTTAAAGCATTGGTTCCCTGTGGAAATATGAACAGAGAATGAGCATGATGATGTAATAGAAAGTTTATGATACTAGATTACGCAATGTAAGTAGTAACAATGAAAGATTGTGTGTGTGAATGAAAAGCCTTGTAAAACTCACAAATTAGCAACGGTTTATAATGTTATAATTAAGACATTTTTGTTATGATAATTAAAGGTGATAGAGGGGTTAAGTGAAATGAAGTGATGTCAGAGACAGTTTTAAATAAAATCATAGGGATATGACAAACAATTAGAGAGGCGAATTTTTTCAAATACGAAATATAATAATAATGACCATGGTAACGGTAAATATAAGACGTACTTCTTTTGAACGCACAGTCCCGGCTTCATCTCATGGATGGCTGAAACTCTTGTTCTTTTAGGCAGTTGGATATGCACATAGAGGCGACCAGACGAGGAAGCTTATTCTTTACGGATATGAAAAGCAAGTTCCTACTAGTGAACGGTAGTCACAGCTTTGCTGCATATAACGTTCTTTTTACCGCTGACGTTAACCGAATTTTAGTCACATCGGAAGTTCGGTCGCCTTTAAATTCTATAGTCATATAAATATATTTGTTTGAATCGGAATTGCCGGACTTTTTGTTCCGACTTCTTTTTTGTTTTATTCTTCGTGAAGTGACATGGATAGCTGTTTCCAGCCAGAGTTTTCCTGAGGAACAATAGTTCTTCGTCAATGCATTCCGTATTACTTATCCGATGAATTCGGTAACACAAAGGGTGAATGAGATTACGCTCTATGCTTATTGGAAGTCAGTTATCGAAATTGTTCAGCTGACCGTTCCATATTTGTTTTTTGTAGACTGACCTTTTTAAGGATGTATCACTTCTTGTCAGACGTTTATTAAGAAAAGCGATTGAATGGCCAAGCTTATTTTCTAAAGTGAAACGTTTAAAAGTATGGCATGCGTCGAGGGAATGTAAAGGACGTACCATTTCAATATCGTCACAAATGTGTCATTTATGTATCTTATAGATTATATCGATTGGTAATCGAACTAAGTTGTCTGTTTTCCAGCTTTGTCCTCACGGAACTATTGCTTCAACAAAATATTTCATATATATACGATTGTACAGCTTGA